GTTGCTAATTTATCCACGTTTTGTTAAACTGATTATTAATGAATAATGAATTGAGTATGAATGTAATTAATAATAAAGCATTCTGGGGATGAATGATCATATATAAAATGGACAATAACATAGTACCAAAATAACATTCAAACCATATCCTTAGATTTGTAATTAGTTTGAACAATATAATTCGTTGACAAGAAAAATAAACAAAAATCCATATACAATTAATTATGCATGCTGTCCAAGGACCTACAAAGAAACTCCGTTTACAATTATTGACTGTCGTCGTCGATTACCAAATTTTAGTTCGTTTAGCATTTATCAACTATCCAAATAAGAACAACTTATGAGTATCATTCATAAATTATCAGAAAATGCGTTGGCTAAGAGGAACTCGAGCCTAAAACTTCGTTAACCAACAGATATAAAACGTAATAAAACTAACATTTCCAAAAAAAAATTCAAATCAGTTTCTATTTTTTTGAATAAAATGTAAAATTTATTCAAAATTTTTTTTTTACAACAAGTGCAACGTTTGTTTAAACAGTTTTAAAAAAATTGAAAACCATATAGAACCGGTGTTTTTTATCTTGATGCAAACCAAGTCATCATACACCCTTCATGTCTTCTATCCCTTTCACGAATAGAAGATATCCTATTGCGAATTTGCTTGTCTAGTCTTTGGACCAGATTGGTTGATGGCACCGGATTTTCACCATGTTTTCGATTGTTTCTTTCTGCCCACAGAGAATGAATCGCAAGCTCAAACGCATATCTCGTAAAAAATAGTATCATGTCCCAAAGACGGGTCCGTAAGGAGCTTGAGGACATCAAATCAGTTTCTAATGTTTTGAATTATTAAAAAATGTGTCATTGAAAGCTAATTAAAAATGCTCGTAAGTCGTAACATGGGGGCAGTGTACGGATGGGGAAATGTGAAAACCTAAAATACCAAATCTATGTAACGTCGAAGTTTCGTGCAGAGAGAGACCAAAGAAGGTTGGGGGTATTTACGACATTTCACAATCACGACCCTATGACATTAAATGAGTGTGAGATAATGCTATCCGTCACATGGCCTTACATTATCTATGTCTGTTTCCAAACACAAACCAACCAACAAATCTCTTTGCTATTTTTGTTTATTTTTTTCCTTGATGATCATTTAAAAAAAAAAAAAGAAAAAAAAAAAGAGTTCGTTTTATGAGATACTTTTTATATTTCTGCTTGCTTACATATTTTTCTTAGTATTATTTTTTAAAATGAAGATAATTTCTTTAACTAGTAAATTCCCTTGTTCTAAAAATCGGCCGTTTAGGCGTTTTTCTTAGTATTATTTTTTAAAATGAAGATAATTTTTTTAACTAGTAAATTCCCTTGTTCTAAAAATCGGCCGCCTAGGCGCTGATCGGAGGAGCACCGCGGCGATTTTGTCCAAATCGGTGAGAAAAATCGGAGATCCGATTTTTTGTAGGCGGCCGCCTAGCCCGCCTAGACGGCGCCTAGCCCAATTTTTTTTTTTTTTTTTTGTTTTTCCTTTTTTTTTATCTAAAATTCAAAACGTCCTACTTATGTTCGTAATTTGTATAAAAATCATAAATTTGAAATTAAAATCTTGTTCTCATGTGTTTAATACAATTTTAAAAACAATATTATATAAATTTTTTAATTAGAATGGATTAATATGTTTTTAAAATATTAAATAGCCCTAAAACTAATCCCCGATTAATCCCCGATTTTCTTGCTATGCGCTAGGTGCACCCTCACCGTCCGACTAGCGTCTAGCGATTTTTTAAACACGGGTAAATTCACAGCCAGCCACTGGTGGTGAACCCGTAATGCTACAGCAGAAAAAGCTAAGCAATACGTTCACGAGTGTTTAATACGTGTAGGTCCTATTAAAATCACGTCTCATTCTTTTAACTATTTGTTTCCTTCTGTTAATGGGCCTCATTCTTGGCCCGTTTACCCCTTCTGGCTGTCTTTTTTCGCTAATAATAATGTACTTTGGGACTACATTTTGTTGTTTTTGTTTTTGAACAGCCTACATTTGTTTATTATATTTGTGTCGTAAAAAACTAAAAATAACATAACTTGGCAAGTTTCACACCAAATAATAATGAAAAACGAATTTGGCAAGACAAGAAAACATAACAGAACAAAAGAATAAAACTATTCGTGAATGTAGAGAAAAATATCAACATTATAAGATTCATTCGTTAGAAACTCATTTTTAAAGTGGTGGAGATATAAATTTGAATTAAAAACTAAAGTGTACTGTATTTATAGATTTTCTTATGTTTGATCACTCATTTTCTAGGTTCCGCCAACCTATTGTGATTAATTATCCATTTTTCCTACTAAAACCACTTTTATGAAACAATTTGACTATTTAGTAAATTAATCATCAAAAAGTCAAAACATTGATTTTGTCGTTTTATATTTGGAAAAAACGAGTGAAACTTGATAACAAAACATAGGCCTTGTACATAAGTAAAAGATTAGGAATATCAAAGATTAGTAAAAGATTAGGAATATCAAATAAACATAGGCCTTGTACATAAGTAAAAGATGTGGCATGGTGGTCACGGTTGCTTGGTGTTCGTGTTGTGGCGGAGTTCGTTTGTTGGCTGGCGGCGCAGTTCGAGGCTGGTTCCTGCGGTGGTTGTTGGCGAGGTCCTCCTCACCGCTGTGTTGCTCACGGCTTTTGTGTGATTCGTCATTAACGGTTCGCTGCGGTTCATCCAGAGTTTGTGGCGGCTTGGACCTTCTCCGGTGTGGCTTTGGGCTTTTTCGGCTCATTCCGGTAAGGTTCTCCTCGGCTTGTGGTCCTCCGGTGTTGTTTGCATCGGTTGGAGTGGGTTTTTGGTTGTGGTGTTGTATTGTTCTTTCTTCGTTTGGATGCGGCTTGATTTACTTAGTGGTTCGAGCTGGTAAGGCTTTGTGGTTGAATAGAGGCGGCGGTTTCGTCTAGTTGCCCTTCTCAATCCCGGGGAGATGTCTCCTGTGGCTTCACGCTCAGGATTGGTGAACAGAGACGGCTTCTCTGGTCATCTTTGACGCTCCCGTGCCGTCGGGTGCGGTTAGGTCTCTCTAGCGATCCCGTTTTTGCGTTAGTCTTCGGAGAAGCTGTAGGCGGTCTTTCTTGAGGTTTGAGGACTGCCTCGGGAAATGGTTTGCTCGTGGCAACAACGATGAGGACTCGAGCTCCTTCGAGCTGCGGCAATTACGCAAATGTCCGTGCTTCACGGTTCGGAATCGGTGTTTCTTCTTCTTGTCTCTGCTAGTGGCTTCGCTTTCGTATTTCTTTGTCGTGTTTTCTCTTGTATTCGTAGGTCTTTAGTGTGTAGTTTTTGGTTTTCCTTTCTTCTTTGTTACCTCTGTATTCGCTGTCGCAAAATTGAAAATGGTATAAATACTTCACCTTTTACCAAAAAAAAAAAAATAAGTCTAGCCTGCGTGTACGTCGGTGACTTGGTGGTTGTATTTACAATTAAACAAAACTCTTAAGTACTCTTTTTCATTACTCTCTCTGTTTTGTTTTAGTTGTCGTTTAAAGTTTTTGCACACAAATTAAAAAAATCATTAAATTTGTTTTACTTTTTATTAATATATTTTATAATTTTTTCATTGGTCAAAACACTAAAACATTAATGACAAAATATTAATTTTCACCAAACATTTGCATTGAAAACCTAAAACGACAACTATTATGAAACAAAATTTTAATCCTAAAACGACAACTAAACTGAAACGGAAGAAGTATTTGTTAAGTAAAATCCCTAAGTATGTGCTATTTTATTTTCCATGAAATGCGGTCGAGGAATGTGGTTTGTTCGTCTAGTTGTTTATAGTCAAATTAAAGTAATGATTGAAAATCACATGATGGATAAATAATTAAACTTTTGAAGTTTTGAAAGTTGATATTGCCAACATCACAATGACATCAAATTTGAATAAAAAGTAAAAATATTTTGTGTTTTAAACAAAATAAGACAAAAATGTAAAATGGAAATGACTTTTGGGTTCAGGGTAATGATAATTGCACATATGATTTTAAACGTGAAAAAGGGTCGACTCCGATTTAGAGGTTTTATTCTTATAATCCATAAAGTTTAACTTACTTTTGCTATTTTCTCGGGAAACATTCACCAAGAAATCGAAAAATTATCAAGTTCAGAGGGGTCCAGGAATAAATTTGAGTGGAATTTATATTCCTCCATCTCATTTTTATGCCTCCTACCTATATGTAATTGTTTAAGTAAATGTGTAAGAGAACCGAGAAACAATACGAATGATAACTTGACAAAGAAAAAAAACAATACGAACCGAGTATTTTGTAAGAATGTAACAAATGAATCTTACTTATAAATTTTCAAATAACCTATTTTTAGCATAATTTTGCTAGAAGAGTCTTTATCAAGAGTTGGTTTTTATTTAAGAATTTGGCAATTTACATCTTAAGACCTATAATTTCGTTAGCTTGTCCCTTGAAATGTAGAAATGATTCATATATTTATTTGGTTAAAATCAAGTTTGGTGAGGAGAGTTAATGAGTTGGATGGTATATAGATAGTGAGGAGACATAAAGCTTCTAGGGTGTTGAGAATATATATCATTAATGGTAAATTTAACATCAAATAAAATATATGTGTTTTTTGCTAAAATATAAAATAAAATATATGTGTTGCAACAAAAACCAAGAGGAAAAAATGACAAATGTCTAGTGATTTACCGTATGAAAAATTTGATAATGAGTCCCAACTTGACTAATCACATTGGGTATCAAAAAAGTTAATAAAATTAAGTAGCCGAGAGATTAGATTAAAAACATTAGAACATATTTACTTATTTAGGCAAAAAAATGATCTATTAAATCCTTGCATTCTGTATTCCACGTTAAGTATTATATCCACGTCTATAGATATTGTGATTTTCCAATTTTAAGTAATAAAACAAGCAATATATTTGTTCAAAAAAAAAAAAAAAAACAAGCAATATAAAAAAACAATTATTATGGAAAAAATTTGGTAAATAATTTTGCGTCATTTATGTAAGTACCACAAACTCTGCATATATGGTCACACTGCACCTGCCCATCATCTTTCTCTCTCTAACGAATTCATTAATTTATTATCTTCTTCTTCTTCTTCAACCTCCCAAAATTCTCTCTCTCTCTATACTCTGCAACAATGGATAGTCCGACGAGCATACGTAGTAAACCACCACCGGAGATTCTTTCTCCATGTGGTAGTCAACGACGGAGAAGCAGCTGCGACTCTAACCCACCTGAGTTCGAGTTCTGGCGTCTCACTAACACTTCATTTCCTCAAGCTGACTCAGATCTCCTCTCCGCCGACGAGCTTTTTCACGACGGTGTTCTTCTTCCTCTTCACCTCCTCTCCGTGAAGTCAGAGCTTCCATCCGACCCGAATATCGTAGAATGCGACCCGGATGCATCTCCTTCACCGGTTACTTTGATTACAGAGCAAAAGAATGATCTTGAACCCGGTTTAGGATCCGAGTTGACCCGAGAAACAACGGTTTCGAAGCGGTGGAGAGATATTTTCAGAAAGAGCGAAACCAAACCGCCGGGGAAGAAAGAGAAGGTGAAAGAGAATAAGAAGGAGAAGAAGAAAACCGGGTCGGGTTCGGGTTCGGGTTCGGGTTCAGGAGCGGAGCTGAATATCAACATTTGGCCGTTTTCAAGAAGTAGATCCGCAGGGAACAACGTGACCCGACCCAGGATGTCGTTTGGAGCTCCGACGACCCGGAAAGTTAGCAGTGCGCCGTGTTCACGTAGCAACTCCACCGGAGAATCCAAATCGAGGAAGTGGCCAAGTAGTCCCGGTCGAAACGGCGTCCATCTTGGTCGGAGCAGTCCGGTTTGGCAAGTCCGGCGAGGAGGTGGAGCTCCGGTTGGGAAAACGATACCCGAACCGATGGGTCGGGTTGTGGGTAAAAGGGAGATTCCCGAGACGCGTAAGGGTAAAACGGTAATTGAGAGCAATAAAGCAAAAGTCTTGAACTTGAACGTGCCTATGTGCATCGGTTATCGGAGCCGGTTAAGCTGCAGAACCGAAGAGAGTGGTGGTGGTAATAGTAACATTGGGAGTGACAATAATAATAATAATGCCAACGCTAATAATCCTAATCCTAATGGTTTATTTGGCTTTCGTAATCTCTTCATTAAGAAAGTTTATTGACTTTATTTGTTTTGTTTTATAGTAATCTTGTAAAAGTGTTCATTTTATCAAAAGACCCTCTTAATATATAGTCTCGAGGGTCCATTTTTATTGTTCTTAATTTCGGTTTTTTTATAATTGCTGCTTTTGCTGTTAGTACGATGTGTGGATTTAGGTAGATTATCGTATTTGCTTATATAATTATATCATGTAATTAAAACTCGATGCTTATTAATATGTAACTACTTTTTCTCCATTTTCTATGGCTTGGTTTCATGTTGACGTAAACTAAGGTTTGTAATATTTTATACTTGTTACAAGACTACGAATTTAGTGCAGGTAAAATGGTATTTGTTAAAACATATAGAGGAAAAAGATTATTAATTTACTTTTGAAAATTGGAATGTATTGAGTTTATGCAAAAGGAGATGACTTGTGGAATCAAATTCCAAAAATTTTAGATTGTTTTCTTCAGAAGCTTTACTTCTTAGAGCAACATTATTGAGATGTGCTTACTTTTGGTTCTTAGTAAATTTTTTGGTTCTTAGCCCAATTTTTGACTTTTAGCTAAGAGTCATTCTTTAGCAAAATCATCAATTACACCTTTAATTTTAAGATCTTTTGAGCTAAGAACCAAGTTAAGAACCTCCCAATAAAAATAGTCTTAAGCTACTTTGCTAGTTTCAAAGGTGGTATCCTTCTGAAAAATTGGAGTTAGGTCCTCTCTCATTTTTAACCAAGTAATTCATAGCGCGTTCTTGCGACAACACTTGTAGTGAGTCTAGTGACAATAACATGAGTCAGAAGATGTTCTCAAAGTTGAAAGACTGTTAAGACCTGGCTTTACTTTACCTTCTAGGTCTACAAGGTTTATTCATGGGTTCTTTATGAAAATATGAAACAAAGTGATTCTTAATTTGGGAGACAAGACAGTGTTTTTGGTATAGTGTTGAGAATAACACAGGTGATATCTTTATTTTCAGTTGGACTCCACAACAAAAGCTCACTTAAGCATATATTTTGTACCCAATTTCCTAGTTAATTTGTATTTAAACCTTTGTGCATTGCATATATATAAAACTTATAATAATAAAAAAAAACAGAACGTCATCATCATTAGTTAGAGAAAAACACATATTAAAGAGGAAAACCTAATAGTTGAGAGCGATCATGTCTGCGTGAAACTTGGTAAGAGCTAAGAACCGTCAAGCTCTAGGGAGTTGGATGGGTGAACAGTCAAACTTGTGCAGTTTCTCCAACTTCTCTGTCTCGAGATTGAAGATTAAAATACCATTTGTCTTCTTATGTCCATGACTGCCACTGAAATAGATGGAATTTCCATTGAGTCCATCAATTTCACTGGAGGGCACAGTGATGCCTAAATCCAAAAGCATTGCCTCGTCGCCCAAAGAATCAACTTGTTCAGATTTCTTGAAGTTCCCTGATAAATAAATGTAGTTGACGTGGAAGGACCATATTTTTGTAGACCTATGCTGTTTCATAATGACCCTTAGGACATCTCCTCTTACTGTGAGTCTGTGACTACAAGTTTTGGATCAACAAAAAACCAAGAATCGCTTGGTCGACGAGGACGGAGACCTTCTAACATTTCACTTCGTTGACCATAAGGAGAAGGAGGACCTATCTCAAATGATCAAATCTATTCAGAAACCTACCACATTTGAAGATTTGTTGTGGAATCTCATCAGAAAAATCGAAGATTTTTAAACCACAAAAACTGGTTAAGAAGTAAAGCTTGTGATCCTTGTAAACCATGTCACGACAATATGAAGTGTTGAGAATTTGATTCCACGAGGTATCCCTTTTCTTGGAAGAAACCACACACCAAGCTTCAAGTCCCCAAAGAACTAATAATCCTTGGTTTTCTCGTCAATCCAAAACACAGGGGATCCTATACTCATACCTTTGAACTTGCTTCCGAGTTCCGACGTGATTATATGAAATGCGAAATCTATCATCGATGATTCGTTCAACCTTTACCATGCCAAGTTGTGACTCCACACGAGGATGTTTGATCCTCTCGCGGGTGAATGGATTCAAAATGTTTAGATTATACTTTGAATCTTACATAAGGAGCCAACTTCCATAGGTTTCTAAACAAACACTCTTTGCAAATTCCACACCAAGATCTTGCGTTTTGTAACGTTTGTGTTTTTCCTCGGGATTGAGGAGCGTGTATGAATTGTTGTTGTTGTTGTTGTTGTTGTTTTTGTCTTTGGGGAACAGAATCAGCCAAGGGATCTGATTTTTGAGCACGCATTGTCTCGAAGCAGAGTACCAAGACGAACACACAGATTTGGCTCGTCTAGAGGAAGTTCCGACAAGGAATGAGATGTATCTCGTCTGAGACGCTTTTGAGAATCTTTACAATTATATAATCTTGTAAATTTTTAACTAAAAAAAATCAAACACGTCATCATTATTCATTAGAGAAAATCAGAAAAATAACATATGAACAATCAAGTTTGTGTGAAACTTGGTAAGAACCTTCGAGCACTAGAGAGTTGAGCTGATGAACAATCAAATTTGTGCACTAGATCCATCTTCTGTGTCTCGAGACTGAAGATAAATGTATCGTTAATGACCTCTGACTTTGTATGAGTACCACTGAAATAGATGGAATTTTTTTCGAGTCCCACAATGTCATTGGCTAGCATAGTGATACCTAGATCCAAAAGAATTGCCTCGTTGCCCAAAGATTCAACTTTTTCATATTTCTTATAGGACACCGATGAATAAACCTTGTAGACGTCGAAAAATCTGCAGATTCTGGTGTTACGTTCCACTATTCTATCAACCTTGAGGACATCTCCAGTTACTGTGACAACAAGTTTTGTATCAATAGTACTAAAGGGATAACCTGGTTGACCAGGATGATGATTTAATGTAAGTCCTTGCATAATGACACAACCTTGAAAGGTTTGTTGCGGAATCTCTCTAGAGAAATCAAAGATTCTGAATTCATATTTGTAGTTAGACTTGGAGAGGTAAAGCTTGTGATCCTTGTAAACCATGTGATGACAATGTGAACTTTCTGGAATTTGATTCCAACATTTATCTCCTTTCTTGGAATAAACCACACACAAACTTCCAAGTCCCCATATAACTACGTAATCTTTGGTTTTCTCGTCGATCCAAAACACAGGGGATTGTATTCTAATACGTTTGTGGTACTCCCTACCGTTGTAATGGGGTGAAATGCGAAACTGATCATCTATGGTTCGCTCGATCTTTGTCATCCCAAGTTGTGACTCAAAAGGAGGTAGATTGATCCTCTCGCGGGTGAATAGATTCAGAATATAGAGATTATACGGTGGATCTCGCATAAGGAGCCAGCTTCCGTAGGTTGCAGTACAAACACTCTTTGCAAATTCAACACCAAGATCTTTCGTTTTGTAAACTTTGCCTTTTTCCTCGGGATTGAACAACGTGCATGAATTGTTGTTGTTGTTGTCTTCTTCCGGGAAGAGAATTAGCCAAGGGATCTGTATGGGAACGGATTGTCGCGATGCGGAGTGCCAAGACGAACAGACGGATTTAGCTCGTTGGAAATTAGCAAAGCTGAGGCGTTCGAACAATGAAGTCAAGAGATCTAGAGGAAGCTCCGACCAGGAATTGGGTGTATCTCGTCTGAGACGCTTAGGAGAACTAGGTTCATGCCCTTTCCCCATGGCAAATTAAAAGAGAGATCGAGACGATTGAATGTTTTCTGTTGCCCAAGAAGTTATGTCTTATTTTAATTTTTAACCTAAACCTAGGATTTCATTGCCACATAAGTTAGATTTATATGCTTATTTATTATATGGGCTTAAGCGGCCCAGTCTTTTGTCTTATAGGCATGTTACTTTAAAAAATCCAAATAATATTTCTAATTGGTTTTTGCGTAAAAATAGTAAAAAAGAGGAAAAATATGTTTTCCCGAGTTTTTAGGAGAACTAAAGAATCTAAAACTTTGAAAGAGTAAGTAGAAATATGTGTTGAAAACTAAACAAACGTAATAGACGTATTCAAGGTACTGAGGGAAGGGCAGAGGATTTGGAATATTGGTACTCCCTCTGTTTCACAAAGAGTGTCATTTTAGAGTTTTGCACACAGATTAAGAAAACATTAAATTTTTTATTTTTTTCTAAACAAAAACATCATTAACTATATACCTAAACATAATCTGCCCAATAGTAAAACAATCTGCAGAATACTAATAGTCATAAAACATAAAAAATCATTAAATTTTACATTGAAAACCTAAAACGACACTCTTTGTGAAACAAAAATAAAACCTTAAAACGACACTCTTTATGAAACGGAAGGAGTATCGTCTTTACCAAAAGAAGGTAATGCATTCTACTTTATTAGAGACCCTTCCGAGGTACAAATAATATAAGATATAGTCTAAATCATTATATATGTTATGTTATATATGTAGATTTGTAATGTGTGAGATTGATTGGTTTACACTTTTAATTAGCCTCTACTATAAAGTATTCTACTACGCTAAGTCAATAATCGGTTCCACTAAAAGCGTTATAGAAAACAGTGGCAAATTTTGGATACTAGTTAAGTTTACAAAGTAAATAATTTTGCTCTAAAATTAACCAAGTAAAGCCTCAATTTTTGTATCGGCTCCGTAATAATGTTTGGACAGAAAATTTTTAAAAGAAGAAACAAGTAAGTTACACAATCACCATGCACGATCTTATACAGTTCAATCTATTACTGACTTAATGTATAGATTATACTTTGAATCTTGCATAAGGAGCCAACTTTCATAGGTTGCAATACAATCACTCTTTGCAAATTCTTCACCAAGATCTTGCGTTTTGTAAAGTTTGTCTATTTCTTCCAGATTGAATAACGTGCATGAATTGCTGTTGTTGTCATTGGGGAATAGAATCAACCAAGGGATTTGATTATGCCTCTTCTCCATGGAAATTGAAAGATTGAATCTATTGTCTTGCCACATAAGTTACGTCTTATGCCAACCTAAACCTAGGAATTCATTGGTAACGCGTACGGAAAGAGGTCGTTTTTCAATATGGACTTCGGCGGCCCAGTCATGGATCGGTCCACAAAAGCGCTTTTAATAAAACAGTGGCAACTTTTGGATAGTACAGTAGTTAAGTTACCAGTGTTTACAAGGTATTAATTTTGCTCTACCCAAGTCAAGTCTTATCTTGTAATCGACATTATTTTACTAACGAATGTTTGGATATCAAATAAAAAAAGGAACACGTACATTACAATTCACACACTATCTTAGGATAGACATTAATTTCTTTCAAAAGAGTAGCAATTTTTTTCGATCAATTAGACTCCACAACAGAAACCCATTAAGCATATCATTTTTTTTAATGAATGTAAAATATACTCAACAAAAAATACTCTGTTTACAATGAATGCATCTTTTAGTAGAGTTTTTATAAGAAATCTTATAAAATAGTTAAATTCAAACCAAACTTTTGGTTTGGTTGGAACTTGGAAGTCTCTAAACTCTTGCCAAATCTCTCGAACCAAACCAAATTTGCAACCCATCCTTAACGTTAGAGTCAGCTTGCGTTAAGGAGCATAGTCTATTACGGACCAACATATTACACATTTGCTACTTTGATTTGTATTTTAACCTTTGTGTAGAAATAACTTTTAACTAAAAAACCAACACATCATCATTATCCATTAGCCAAAAATAACATATTTGAAGAAGAAAGTAGAACTCATCATGTATGCGTTAAAATTGGTAAGAACCATCGAGCTCTAGAGAGTTGAACTGCCGAACAATCAAATCTTTGCAGTGACTCCATCTTTTTTGTATTTAAACCTTTGTGCATTGCATATATAAAACTTATAAAAAAATAAACAGAACGTCATCATCATTAGTTAGAGAAAAAACACATATTAAAGAGGAAAACCTAATAGTTGAGAGCAATCATATCTGCGTGAAACTTGGTAAGAACTAACAACCATCAAGCTCTAGAGAGTTGAATGGATGAACAATCAAATTTGTGCAGTTTCTCCAACTTTTAACCAAAAAAAAACCAAACACGTACGTCATTATCATTGAGTAGAGAAAAACAATATATTGAAGAAGTTGAAATCAATCAAGTTTGTGTGAAACTTGGTAAGAACCATCGAGCACTAGAGAGTTGAGCAGATGAACAATCAAGTTTGTGCACTCGCTCCATTTTCTGTGTCTCGATATTGAAGATAAATTTATCATGAATGATATTTTCAAGACTACCACTGAAATAGATGCAATTTCTTTTGAGCCCCTCAATGTCATTGGCGAGCACAGTGATACCTAGATCCAAAAGCATTGCCTCGTCGCCCAAAGATTCAACTTTTTCATAGTTCTTTAAGGACTCTGATGAATAAACCTTGTATACGTCAAAAAACCTGCAAATTCTGGTTTTACGCTCCCATATTCTGTCAACCTTGAGGACATCTCCATTTACTGTGACTACAAGTTTTGTACTAACAGTGCAGTGGGAATAGCCTGGTTGACCATGACGATGATTTAATATAAGTCCTTGCATAATGACAATACCTTGAAAGGTTTGTTGCGGAGTCTCTCTAGAGAAATCAAAGATTCTGAAATCACATTGGTAGCCAGAGCCAGAGAAGTAAAGCTTGTAATCTTTGTAAACCATGTCACAACAATCTGAAATTTCCGGAATCTGATTCCACGAGGTATCTCCTTTCTTGGAATAAACCACAGACCATCTTCCAAGTCCCCATATAACTATGTAATCTTTGGTTTTCTCGTCGATCCAAAACACACAGGGTCCTATATAAAGACCTATGTACTCCCTACTGATCATGTTGTGATCGTGTGAAATAATGCGAAAGCAATCATCTATGGTTCGCTCCATCTTTGTCATTCCAAGTTGTGACTCCACAGGAGGTAGATTGATCCTCTCTCGGGTGAATATATTCAAAATGTATAAATTAAACCGAGGATCTCGCATAAGGAGCCAACTTCCATAGGTTGCCTTACAAAGGCTCTTTGCAAATTCTTCACCAAGATCTTTCGTTTTGTAAAGTTTGTGTTTCTCCTCGGGATTGAACAACGTGCATGAGTTATTGTTGTCATTGTCTCTGGGGAAGAGAATCAGCCAACTGGTCTGTTTGGGGATGATTTGTCTCGAAGCGGAGTGCCAAAATGAACAGACGAATTTAGCTCGATGGAAATTAGCAAAGCTGAGGCGTTCGAACACTGAAGTCAAGAGATCTAGAGGAAGCTCCGACCAGGAATTGGGTGTATCTCGTCTGAGACGCTTAGGAGAACTAGGTTCATGCCCTTTCTCCATGGCAAATTAAAAGAGAGAGATCGAGACGATTGAATGTTTTCTGTTGCCTAAAGAAGTTTGTGCTCATTTTAACCTAAACCTAGGATTTCACTGATACAGAAGTTGGATTTATATGCTTTTATTATATGGGCTTCAGCGGCCTAGTCTTTTGTCTTAGGCATGATGTTAGTTTCAAAAATCCAAATAATATTATCTTTGGTTTTTGCATAAAATAAAAAAAATGTTTTCCCGAGGTTAGGAGAGTAAGAATCTAAAACTTTGAAAGAGTAAGTATAGAAATGTGTTGAAAACTAAACAAACCTAATAGTTGTCATCCTATATATTCATTTTATCAAAACATTCCTGAGTTTATGCCACATAAGATACGTCTTATTCCAACCTAAACCTAGGAATTCATTGGTAACGTATACGGAAAGAGGTAGGTTTTTTATATGGACTTCAGTGGCCCAATCATCGATCGGTTTAAAAATAGGGGCAAATTTTGGATAGTTCAGCAGTTATAAGTTACCAATGTTTACAAGCCTAAAAGGTAGTATTAATTTTGCTCTAACCAAGTCTCGATCTTGTAATCAACACATTTGTTAGTTAGATTTGTATATCAACTAAAAAACCAACACATCATCATTATTCATTAGCCAAAAACAACATATTTGAAGAAGAAAGTAGAACTCATCATCATGTATGCGTTAAACTTGGTAAGAACCATCGAGCTCTAGAGAGTTGAACTGACGAACAATCAAATTTTCGCAGCAACTCCATCTTTTTTGTCTCGAAATTAAAGATAAAGATACCATTTTTCTTCTTTCCATGACTACCACTGAGATAGATGCAATTTCTTTTGAGCCCCTCAATGTCATTGACGAGCACAGTGACACCTAAATCCAAAAGCAGTGCCTCGTCGCCCAAAGAATCAACTTCTTCATATTTGGGGAAAACTTTACAGACACGGAATGACTGGATTCCAGACCTAGGTCTTAACATTCTTTGAACCCTAAGGACATTTCCTGTTACTGTGACTACAAGTTTTGTCTCATCAACAAACCATGAATTACTTAGCCGATGACAACGACGACCTAGACTCATTCTAATTATTAACAGATCCATACCACATTGAAAAATTTGTTGAGGAACCTCTCTAGAAAAATTTAAGATTGTGAAAATATTTTCGCTGCTAGAGAAGTAAAGCTTGTGATCTTTGTAAACCATGTGAAGACAGTGAGAAATTTCCGGAAGCTGATTCCACGCGGTATCTCCTTTCTTGGAATAAAGGACACACAAACCTCCAAGTCCCCAAAGAACTATATAGTCTTTGGTTTTCTCGTCAATCCAAATCACAGGGGATCGGATGCAAAGCTCTTTGATCTGCCTTTGGAAGTGATCCTTAGAAACGTGAAACCAATCATCTAAACCTCGCTCGATCTTTGTTATTCCAAGTTGTGACTCTACAGATGGCAGATCAATCCTTTCTTGGGTAAAAAGATTCAAAATGTAGAGATTATACCGTGGATCTCTCGTAAGGAGCCAGCTTCCATAGGTTGCTAGACACACACTCTTTGCAAATTCAACACCAAGATCTTGCGTTTTGTAAAGTTTTTGTTTTTCATCGGGATTGAACAACTTGCATGAATTGTTGTTGTTGTTGTTGTTGTTGTTGTTGTTGTTGTTGTTGTCTTCGGGGAAGAGAATCAGCCAAGGGATCTGCTTTTTGGGCACGCATTGTCTCGAAGCAGAGTACCAAGACGAACACACCGATTTGGCTCGTTGGAAACTAGCAAAGCTAAGGCGTTCAAACACCAAATTCAAGAGATCTAGAGGAAGGTCCGACCAGGAATTAGGGTTATGGTTCTCCATGGCAAGAGATCTAGAGGAAGCTCCGACTATGTATAAACCAAAAAGAATTTATTTGCATCGTTGATTATGGGCTTTTATGGCCCAGTCGTTTTTCTTCTTTCTCAAGCTTTTGCATCAGAAACTGAAATATAATATGATATGCTAGTTTGGTGGTATGTATTTTTATATCCTTTGTGCCAAAACAAATACTAGCACAAGAGTAAAATAACATATTGATTAATACCAAAAAAAAAAACACAATGGAGATAAGGACATTGTTGAGAATCTTGAGATCAACATCGTGTATGCGTGAAACTTGGTAAGAACCATTGAGCTGCTCTAGAGAATTGAGCTAAAGAACGATCAAATCTGTGGAGCGGCTCCGTCTTCTGTGTCTTGAGATTGAAGATGAAGATATTATTTGTATTCTTTTCATGATCATTACCACTGAAATAGATGCAATTTCTGATGAATCCGTCAGTGTCATTGACAAGCACGGTGATGCCTTGATCTAAAAGCATTGACTCGTCGCCCAAAGACTTAATCAGTTCTGGTTCCTTCAATAATCCTGATGCATAAATCTTGAAAACCTGGAAGGACCATGTTCTAGACCTCTTTCTCCACAATTTTTTAACTTTGAGGACAATTCCTGTTACTGTGACTACAAGTTTTGTGTCAATAACGCACCATGAACTACTTAGTTGACCGAGTTCTTTACCTAACCGAAATATTTCAGGTTTAACACCACATTGAAAGGTTTGCTGTGCGATCTCTCCGGAGAGGTTGAAGATTTTGAAACTACCGAAGCAGCTTAGGAAGTAAAGCTTGCGATCCTTGTAAACCATGTCCAAACAGGCAAAAGTTTAAGGAATTTGATACCACGAGGTATCTCCTTTCTTGGCAGAAACCACACACCGAAATCCAAGTCCCCAAATGACTATATAATCTTTGGTATTCTCGTCAATCCAAAACACAGGGGATTGAATATGCATAACTTCGGACTTGGACTCAGTTTTCATGTTTGAAATGCGAAACAAATACATGGTATTCCATATTATTTCAACATTTACCATGCCAATTTGTGACTCCACAGGAGGAAGATTGATCCTCTCGCGGGTGAATAGATTCACAATGTATAGACTATTGTCAGTATACTTTGAATCTTGCATAAGAAGCCAACTTCCATAGGTTGCTATACAAAGACTCCTTCCAAATTCCAAACCAAGATCTTGCGTCTTGTAAAGTTTGTCTTTTTCCTCGGGATTGAACAACTTGCAAGATTTTTCTTTGTTGATGTTTTCGGGGAAGAGTATCAGCCAATGGGTCTGACTTTTGGGCACCGATTGTCTCGAAGCAGAGTGCCAAGAGGAGCATACTGATTTAGCTCTCTGGAAATTAGCAAAGCTGAGGCGTTGGAACACCAAATTCAAGAGATATATAGGAAGCTCCGACCAGTAATTGGATGTTTCTAGTTGTCTGAGACGCTTATGAGAATTAGGGTTTTGCTTCTCCTCCATGGCAAGATTGAGAGAGAAGGTACGATTAAATTAAGATTTTAAATGATTTTATTTGGACATGAACGACGTCGTTTTTGTTTTTAAATATGGGCTTTTCCGGCCCAGTAGGTTTTCTACCAAAAAAAAGACGTCACTTTGTAAAGGCTTCTTTAACGTTTTGGCAAAGCTTCTTGATTCGAGGTTCATTGGGTCTTCTTAGTTTTTTTCTAATTTAAAATCCAATGTTACTTGTATCTTTTGTGATAGAAATCTACCACAATAGTTGTTGAGGTCTCTTATCTTCAATAAGCTTGTTTGCTGCACAATCTTTTTGGATTTTTGTTTCATCCTTGTGCTATGATGTTGTGATGGTTTTCACTTTCTTGGCTTGTAGATAGACCTACAAGAGAAAAGATCATCTCGACTTGCATATTTTTAACCATAACAAAATGCTCCTCAAGTTTCCGATGAAAAATTGCAAGAGCTATAGGGTAATATCAGTAAGCATGTTAAGGAATTTCATAGTAGCTAATGGCGCCATAGCTAGTATTGGTAGTGATGATGCAGCTCATCCCTCAGAATGTGCATATGTCTGCAAAAAAAAAGATATATATATATATATATATATATATATATATATATGGTTGTATTGTATATAAGTATATATGCATCACAGCTCCAAAATCCCGTGCATGTTTTCACGAGCAAGCCCTTCTAAGTTGCTGCAAAATAGAAGATATGTTTTCAACATAAAAAAAAATTTAGAGTCTCAAAATTTAAATGCTTATATTATAAATTTACTGTGCTTCGTCAAAGATAACAATCGCATCTCTCAAATCAGTTTTGATACTTTCACGCGTGGTTGGACTAACAATGTACGCGTATAGACAGAAAATGACGTTTGACTCCTTAGATAGTTCCCACACATAAAAGTATGGACAACCTACAGTAAAAAAAAAAGAATCAAATTTGTGTCTCGTCAAAGATAACAATCGCATCTCTCAAATCAGTTTTGATAATTTCACGCGTGGTTGGACTAACAATGTACGCGTATGGGCAGATGACGTTTGCCTCCTTAGATAGTTCTCACACATAAAAGTATGGACAACCTACAGTAAAGAAAAAGAATCAAAGTGATTTGATACACGCTGCGGGATCAACACGGCTTACCATAACATGATTGTATCACTAAACTCCAACCGTGGTTCCCAATTCTACAAGGTCATCTATTTGATAAAGTCCTCCGAAAAGATTATACTGTTTCCCTTGGGTGATCAATAAGGGAACACCACTGTAAAAAACACAACTCGGTCTGTTCTTATCATGTATAAGAGCCCGGCTGAAAATATAAGCAAGAATCTTAAAAGGAAATTGTATCGAGTATTTAAAAACTAGTATGATGTAATAGAAAAAAAACTTATACAAATTAATAGTATCGGAACAGTGAAGTTCTATTAATTTATAGAAATATTAAATTTATCGATAAATAAATAATTATTAAATTATACACAGTTTTGGCTAGTTTTGTAATTCTTAAAAATATATATAAGTATATATGCATCACAGCTCCAAAATCCCGTGCATGAGGATCTGCCTCGCCATTATTGTTCTTTTCTCTTCTTATAAATCATGGGTTTGCAAATTGTTGACAACATCCAGTATATATACATGATTTTTTTTTTTTGGTTCTCTAGTGGTCACGTGTGTTGATTTGATAAGGAGTAATTTAATAAGTACATATAGCCTGACATCTATATGACTCAATCACGACAAGGTTTGAGGTCTCTGATTTTCAAACACCTTTTGTGCGCAAATTTACACACATTTGCTAGTTTGGTAAGTAATTTTATCCTTTGTGTATAGATTACTTATAACAAAAAAAAACGGTAGCATGTGATGCTCATTAACTAGAGTAAAGTAACATGTTGAGTGAAATCAAAAAACAAAAACATATTGAAGAGAGAAAAATGGTTGAGATCAACATCATCTATGCGTGAAACTAGGTACGAACCATTGAGCTCTAGAGAATTGAAATGAAGAACTATCAAATGTATGCAGCGGCTCCGTCTTATGTGTCTCAAGATTGAAGATAAACATGTCCTTTGTGTGCTTTTTATAACAATTACTGAAATAAATGGAATTTTTAATGAATCCATCAGTGTCATTGGCGGGCACAGTGATGCCTTGATCCAAAAAAATTGACTCATCTCCCAGAGAATGAATCCGTCTTCTTGATGAATAAACCTCGAAAACCTTGAAGGACTTGTCCCTCATTTTTTCAACCTTGAGGACTTTTCCTGTGAGTGTGACTACAAGTGTTGTGGTACAAACGTCCCGTCCACGTAAGGAAAAATGGTCTATCCAAACACTCGAGTCAAAGATTTGTTGTGGGATCTCTCCAGAAAGATCGAAGATTTTGAAACTATGGAAGTAGCCTAGGAAGTAAAGCTTGTGATCCTTGTAAAGGATACGGGAACAATCTGGAGTTTGAGGGATTTGATTCCAAGAGGTATCTCCTTTCTTGGAATAAAATACACACCAATCTCTAAGTCCCCAAAGAACTACATAATCTTTGGTTTTCTCGTCAATCCAAAACACAGGAGATCGTACATACCCACCTCTGGACTTCATTCGTCCTTTGCGACCTGAAACGCCTAACTCATAACCTTCCCACAATAACTCCACGGGAAGTAGATTGATCCTCTCGTTGGTAAAGAGATTCACAATGTAGAGATTAAACAGAGGATCTTGCATTAGAAGCCAACTTCCATAGGTTGCCCTACATTCACATTTTGCAAATTCTTCACCAAGATCTTGCGTTTTGTAAAGTCTGTCTTTTTCATCAGGATTGAACAACGTGCATGAAGTGTTGTCGTTGTTTTCTTCCGGGAAGAGAATTAGCCAATGGATCTGATTATTGGGCACGGATTGTCTCGAAGCAGAGTACCAAGACGAACACACGGATTTAGCTCGTTGGAAATTAGCAAAGCTTAGGCGTTCCAACACCAAATTCAAGAGATCGTGAGGAAGATCAGACCAAGAATGGGACGTATGAGAATTAGGGTTCTGTTTCTTCTCCATGTAAAATTGGATAAACAGGAGAAATCTCTGAAAATATTTGATAAAATCTTTTTATGTTTAGATTTTATATTTGGTAAACGAATGAGATCGTTTTGGCTGTTAAATATCGGCTTCTTCGGCCCAGTCTACAAATTATCTTAAGTATTTTTAGGAATATGATAAGATACACTTGGATTTGGTTAGTTATGAGTATTGTTATTTTTGCAAACTAAATATTTTTTTTGTCTTTGCAGGAATAAAATGGCCGTTGGGCCATAGTTAGACTATTGCGTGAGGCATTGGATCTTGAGAGAGAAATCCAAATTGTGAGGCTACTGCATCATGTAATGGAACTAGTTTCAATTAGGGTGACCTCTTCAGAAGCTCCAGCAAGTCAAGCCTCGATCACGCAAGGTTGTGAGAGGTTTGCTGCACAATGTTGTCGGCTTGTAGTGACCCTTTACATGCTATGTTGATCTTTGTGTTGCTATGTATAGGAGAAAGTTAACTTTCAAAAGAGCTTATTTTCAACCCCTAATAACGAAACAGTTAACTTTCAAAAGAGCTTATTTTCACCCCCAACAAATACTAGATAGATTCCACAAGACAAGCTCACTTAAACATATCATTTTGAGTACCCATTTGATAGTTTGATTTGTATTTTTATCCTTTGTGTATACTCACTTTTAGCTTAAAAACTAGCACGTCATGATTATTAATAGTGTAAAAAAGCATATTGAGTACTAAAACCAAATAAAAAGAAAAAGAAACAACATACTTAAGATCAATTATGTGTGAGTGAAACTTGGTAAGAACCATCGAGCTCTAGAGAGTTGAAGGGACGAACAATCAAATTTGTGCAGTAGCTCCATCTTCTGTGTCTCGAGATTGAAGAGAAATATATCACTTGTGTTCTTATAATGACTACCACTGAAGTAGATGGAATTTCTATAGAACCCCTGATCATTCTCATTGGCGGGCACAGTGATGCCTAGATCCAAAAGCATTGCCTCGTCACCCAAACAATCAACTTTTTTATATTTCTTTAACAACCCTGATGAAGAAATCTTTAAAACCCCAAAGGACCAGGTTCTAGACTCCGGTATCCACGTTCTTTTAACCTCTAGGACTTTTCCTGTTACTGTGACTACAAGTTTTGGCTTAGCAACCCACCATGGATTTCTTACTTTACGACGACGAAAAGGACGAAAAGGTGTAGTATATCTATCTATACAAAAGTGTAACTGCTTGAAAGTTTTGTTGTCCCTCTCTCTAGGAAAATATAAGATTTGGAAAGTACCAGCATTGCTTAAGGGCCTGACTGGTTTAAACGTAGTGGTTGCGGTTGCGGTTGCGGGAGTTTGCGGAAGCGGGCGGTTGCGGCTTTAAGCGTTATCAAGCGTTTTGAACGACTGGTTTAGCGTTTGAAAATGAGAGCGTTTGCGGAAGTTTTATGACTGGTAAACCAGCGGGTGCGATAGCAGTTAAATAAAAGAATGAACAAAATAAATAAAAAAATAATACAAAAAAAAAGAAATAAAAACACCAATATATTATTATGATAATATTAGAAAAATTTGAACATGCTTAATAATTAAAACCATAGATAAAGTACTAAATAATTATTCAAAAATAAAGAAATTTTGTAACAAGATAGTACTTTATGCATCTGGTTTAACATAAAAAATTGCATTAAGTAATGGGAAAAACTGTAAATAACGTTGAATTCAATCAAAAAGCAAGTGAGTTTCTATTCGAGAAAACAAATCGAAACATATATTCAATCAAAAAGCAAAGCAATACGTAATGAAAATAAAAAAAAACGATGCCATGAAAAATATTCAAAAAGTTACACATGAGGTGATGAAAGAATAAAAGGATATATGATACTTACATTTGGTTATTGATTTTCATCAGTTTGGGTGGAAGACATTAAGAGAATAGAGTTTCAGAATATTATTAGGGTTTCTGATGAGAACGTGATACAAAGATGAAAGATATATATATAGGATTAATATATATTATAATAATTATAAGTAAATGTTTGATTTTTTTTTTTTTTTTTTTAATCCAACCGCTACCGCCCGCAACCGCAAACGCTTGCGGGAAGGAGCTTTTGAAATTCAGCGATTTCGAGCGGTTCGAAGCGGGACGGAGCAGTTTCTATGATTGGTTTCAACCGCTAACAACCGCAACCGACCGCTAGCAACCGCTAGGAGGGTGCTAGCGGGAGAACCAATCAAGCCCTAAGAAGTAAAGCGTGTGATCTTTGTAAACCATGTCACAACAATCCGAAATATTGAGATTTTGATTCCACGAGGTATCTCCTTTCTTGGCATAAACCACACAACAACCTCCAAGTCCCCACAGAACTAGATAATCTTTGGATTCCTCGTCAATACAAAACACAGGGGATCTTATACTCATATCTTCGGACTTCCTTTCGTCTTGAATAATGTGAAAACCATCATCAATAATTCTTTCAACCTTTACCATGCCAAGTTGTGACTCCACAGACGGCAGCTCGATCCTCTCGCGGGTGAATAGATTCAAAATGTATAGATTATACTTTGAATCTTGCATAAGAAGCCAACTTCCATAGGTTGCCCTACAAACACTCTTTGCAAATCCCACACCAAGGTCTTGCGTTTTGTAGAGTCTGTCTTTTTCCTCGGGATTGAACAACGTGCATGAACTGTTGTTGTCGTCTTCGGGAAAGAGAATCAGCAAAGGGATCTGATTTTTTGTCACGGTCGTGGAAACAGAGAACCAAGAGGAGCACACGGATTTAGCTCGTTGGAAATCAGCAAACCTGAGGCGTTCGAAAACTAAGTTCAAGAGATCTAGAGGAAGCTCCGACCAGGAATAAGGGTTTTGGTTCTTGTCCATGGCAATATTGAGAGAGGCGGAAGAAATCTCTAAAAACATTGTAATAAACCAAAACAATTTTATATGATTTTTTGGTACGGAAACACGTCGGTTAATATGGGGTTTTCTGGCCTCGTCTTTATAGCCCATTAATCAACTAGTGTAACAATCGTTTTTGTCATTCATTGACATTATGACCCAATTTCTTCTTCTTTCTCAAACATTTAATTCAGACACTGGAATTTAATGGGGATATAGGAGAACCAGAGCACTGAGTTAGTGTATCTTGGAAAATTCATTAGAAAAAATATTCATTGGAATTAGAAGAAAGGACTAAACAACACATCTTATATTTGGATTTCGATTCACAAATCACAACAATGATTGTATTCGTAAAATTATTTATTAGTGGTTGAATAAAAAGAGTACAGAAGTAACAGAACTAACCTTCCTCCTGCACATATATAAGATAACATAAGAGTGTATACAAGACGCTCACAAACACTAAACATATAGTATAAGATAAGAGTGTGTACAAGACGCTCACAAACACTAAACAAAAGACAGTTTCTGTAAGTTATTCTCTAGTTGACCTTTTTGACCTTGACATTCAGGTCAAAAGAGTTCCAAAAAATCAGGTTAAGTAGGAATAATCCCAACTCAAGAAAATAGCACGGCTCAAATTAAGATCGGTCTTAATAGGTTCAAACCAAAAGAAACTCAAGATAAATCTTGAGTTTCTTTTGATTTGATCTCTTAGGACCAATCTTTATTGTGGCCTGCTATTTTCTTGACAAGATGAGATGACCATCATCATCGACAAAAATAAAATAGAAGTTGTTCGAACTCCCATAGTTAACTCTTAGCTAGTTAGCTATGAAGATCAAGACATGAGACTTTGACAGAAAAAGAAAAGGTCAAGACTTGAGAACTATATGTAGATGTATTTTAACATGTCATGTTTACTAAATGACTTAACCAATGTGTCATGTTTACTAAATGACTTAACCAATCCATACCAAAATTTAACTAATGTGTCATGTTTACTAAATGACTTAAACAATGTGTCATGTTTACTAAATGCTAATTGTACTACCAATGTTGCTTAAGAAGTAAAGCTTGTGTGATCCTTGTATACCATGTGATGACAATATGAAGTTTATGGAATCTGATTCCACGAGATGTCTCCTTTCTTGGAATAAACCATACACCAACTTCAACGTCCCCCTAGAACTACATAATCTTTGGTTTTCTCGTCAATCTAAAATTCATAGGAAATAGAAGAAAGGACTGAACAATACAGCTTATATTGGATTTTGAAATTTTGATTCACATATCACAACACAACACTGCTTATATTGGATTTTTGTATTTGAAAATGATTCATTAGAGGTTGATCATATCATTAACTAGGGTGAAATAACATATTGATTGAAACAAAAAAATAAAAACATAGTTGAAATCAACATTTTAGTGCATGAAACTTGGTACGAACCATTGAGCTTCAGAGAATTGAATTGAAGAAGCATAACTATCAAATGTGTGCAGCAGCTCCGTCTTACGTGTCTCGAGATTGAAGATAAAGATATCATCTATGTTATTTTGATATCTATCACTGAAATAAATGGAATTTCTAATGAATCCATCAGTGTCATTGGCGATCACAGTGATGCCTTGATCCAAAAGCATTGACTCATCTCCTAGAGAATTAATCCGCCGTTCAAGTTTCTTCAGGAATCTTGAAGAATAAACCCGGAAGGACCATGTTCTAGAACTCTCTCTATACAATTTTTCAACCTTGAGGACTTTTCCTGTTACAGTGACTACAAGTTTTGTGTCAATAACTTTCCATGAATTTCTTGTTGCAGGAGCTCCTAACCGAAAGCTTTCCACTTTAATACTCCATTATATTGAAAGGTTTGTTGTGGAATCACTCCAGAAAAATCGAAGATTTTGAAACTACCAGTTTTGCTTAGGAAGTAAAGCTTGTGATCCTTGTAAACCATGTCAAGACAAAATGAAGCGTTGGGAATTTGATTCCACGAGGTATCCCCTTTCTTGGCAGAAACCACACACCAATCTTCAAGTCCCCAAAGAACAACATAATCTTTGGTTTTCTCGTCAATCCAAAACACAGGGGATTGTATGTTCCTACTACAGTAGGGTTTATACATACAAGTTTGGTAAATTGCATTGCCTGCCTCATAATCTTTCCACAATAAACCCGAAGGAGGTAGATTGATCCTCTCGTGGGTAAAGAGATTCACAATATAGAGATCACTCCATCGATCTCTCAAAAGGAGCCAACTTCCATGAGTTGCCCTACAAAAACTCTTAAATCCCTCACCAAAATCTTGGGTTTTGTAAAGTTTTTCTTTTTCCTCGGGATTGAACAACGTGCATGAATTTTTGTTGTTGTTGTTGTTTTCTCGAGGGAAGAGAATCAGCCAATGGATATGATGTTTTGGCACGAATTGTCTGGAAGCAGAGTACCAAGACGAACACACGGATTTAGCTCGTTGGAAATTAGCAAAGCTGAGGCGTTCGAAAACTAAATTCAAGAGATCTAGAGGAAGCTCCGACCAGGAATTAGGGTTATAGTTCTTCTCCATGGCCATATTGAGAGAGACAAGAAATCTCTGAAAGGTTTTGTAAACCGAAACGATAGAATGCGTCTAGGTTTTTTTTTATGATTTTATATTTAGTACGGAACTAACCAGGCGTTCGTTTTTTCACCGTTAAATACGTATGGGCTTTTCTGGCCTAATCTTGATAGCCCCTTTATCAACCACTGTAAGTCCATAACAAACCTTTTTGTCAGTTATTTACATTTTGACCCAATTCTTCTTCTTGCTCAAACTTTTGTATTAGACACTGAAATTTTACGGATTTAGAAAGAACCATAACTTTTGAGTGTCTATTGGAAAATTTAATAAAAATTATTCATTGAAATTGGAAGAAAGGACTAAACAACACATCTTTTTATTCAACAAATCACAACACAGCTTGTATTCGTAAACTTATTCATTTGAGGTTGGAAAAAAAGACTGAAAGAGTAAAAGTTCATGATACAATTGGCCTTCTGACTTTGACTTTTGTATTTTTTCAGGTCAATGAGTTCCAAAAAATCAGGTTAAGTTGGAGTAATCCCAACAAAGCTAAACTCTTTTCCCTGCATTCATTATTCGTTAGATTGTTAATAAGTGGATATATAGTTGGTTATGTTATAAAAACTTATTCCGCCATTATGCAAATGCATATAATCAACACAAAATTTCATTAGGCGAGTTCTCATTGGCCAACTTATATCATCATGCTATGCAATGTTACTAATCCGAACCAATGTTTTTCTATACCGGTGAGGGGGGTTTTGAGTTTACCTTGTGGTAGAGGACTCGAGTTCTTCAACGTCTGATCTCTTCCTCTTCCTCTGTGCCGGAGAAATCTTATGTTCTCCGACGAGTAACGACGTCGTAGCTTGCAAATGAGTCTGAAGCACCATCTGAGTCAAGTCGACTTCCATTTCCAACCTTCTCTTCTCAGCTTCTAATCTCGCTGCTTCACGAGCCTTGATCATCTCCATCTCCGCTAATTCCGTTCGAAGCAGAGAATCAGACAAGACTCGTATGATCGCCGACAGTCCCGTCGAAGTTGCCGAGTCACAGCTCATGTTTGACTCGGTCCCGGAGCTCAAGTTTGACTCAGTGTCTGAGTCGGAGCTGTAAGGATCGTCGGAGCTATCTTTACCCGTCAAGACATCGTCGGTCGGATTATTCTCCGACGATGAGGTCTGGCTCCGGCGAAATCTTGCCGACTTGCCCATGAAGTGTAAATTTGGGCAGAGAGAAAGAGACAGTGGAACATGGGTTTTGTTGTTTTGGTTTGATTCTTTCAACTTTAAAAACTGATTAGACTAAAGTGGTTCCACTTTCGATTAAAAGCAACTTTTTTTTTTAATTCACTTTGACGGTATACGAAAATTGTTCATACATTCATTAATTCCGTAACAGAAAATCATTTTTCTTTCTTTATCTATCAAATTCGCTAAAAGATTATTCGGGAAATAATTCAAAGGACTTCTCCATCAGATCCCATTTTCTCAAACATTATGATAAAATAAATAAAAAATCCCATGATTATCACCAAACGATTATAACATAGTACAATAAGTAGATTAATAATTAATAAGTTAATGTTAGTTTTGTTTCTGGCTAAGCACACGCGCATAAGAGAACACGCTTTAGAATTAACTAGGCACGAGTCAGAAAGTGGGTTACACGCGCTTAGTTTTCGCGTAAAACCTTGTTAGCGAATTTTTTCATAGTTAGTTCGATTTCCTAATTCCTAATTCCTCTCTCTCTCAAATTCGTTTTTCTTTTTCTTCCGATCAGAGCAGAGATATGTCGTCTAAGGACAAGAAACCGGCGAAGCCAACAAGTGGTCGGACTGGTGGTATCCGTACACTTTCCGATCTGAACCGAAGATCAGAGCCTGATTCCGATAGTGACTCCGATGGACCTCAAGAGTACTACACCGGTGGCGAAAAAAGGTTCGTGCTTTATTATGATCTGCTTAATTATGTCGTGTTGACTAAACTTTTTGATGATTCAACTATAATGGTTTTAGCCAATTAAGTGTTTTAATCAAATTTATTACCTTTTGAGATTATCTAGCTTTAGCCTTGTGATTAAACTCAATTTTCAATTTTGAGGATTAGTATGATTTGGTTAAAATGTTGGATCTTTGTTGCTGTTGTTGTATGTGTGCAGTGGTATGCTTGTTCAGGATCCTACAAAAGAACCAAAACACGATGATGTTGATGAGATATTCAATCAAGCAAGACAACTAGGAGCTGTGGAAGGACCTCTTGAGCGTCCTTCAAGTTCTAGAAGCTTTACTGGAACCGGGAGATTGCTTTCAGGAGAAAGCGTGCCAACGGCTCTTCAACAGCCTGAGCCTGTGATTCACAATATTATTTTCTGGTCTAATGGATTCACTGTAGATGATGGACCTTTGAGGAAGTTGGATGATCCAGAGAATGCATCTTTTCTTGATGTGAGTGTGCTTTTTATTTGGTTAATGCTTATGAAATTGGCTTATGAATATCGTGTTGAACCGTTGTCTTTTCGTGTATTGCAGAGCATTCGAAAGTCTGAATGCCCGAAAGAGCTTGAGCCTGCTGATAAAAGAGCTCCGGTACATGTTAATCTTATGAGAAGAGATGAGAAATGCCCTGTGAGTCCTCTCTGAAATCCCCATATATATATATATTTTTTTTTGGTAAAAGAAAAATCCCCATATATTGCTCTTTTGTATTGAACTAATGATAAGTATCTTTTAGTATCGACTATCTTGAGCTTGATCCATCTTATAACTATGGTACAAACTCTTAAACATCTTTGTTTCTTCTTCTTTTGTAGGAGAAAGAGAAACTTAAGGTTGCATTTCAAGGAGTTGGAAGGACTCTTGGTGGTGCAAGCTCATCAGCAGCTTCAAGCCTAGACAACCTAACTGATGTAGCAGCGGTTTCATCACCGTCACAGAGCCTTGTAGTAGATGAAACACTTCCATCCACATCGATCCAGCTTAGACTCGCGGACGGGACACGCATGGTAGCTAAGTTCAACAACCATCACACGGTCAACGACATTCGTGGTTTCATTGAGTTTTCTCGACCAGGGAATCCAATGAACTACACCCTTCAGGTCATGGGGTTCCCACCAAAGCCACTTACTGACCCTTCTCAGACCATTGATCAAGCCGGTCTCGCAAATTCTGTAGTCATTCAGAAATTCTAGAAACTTTCGTTTCTTTTCTTCTTCTTCTATTCATATGTATTAGAGAGAGATTTCAACAACTTGGGATTGTACTGAAAATATTCATAAAAATGTTCAATCGACTTATTGTGGCAAGAGAAATGAAAACATCATATGGTTTCTATGTTTTTTCGTTTGAATGTGTTTAATTATGTGTAAGTTCTTACATTACTTCAAATTTCACATGTAAAGATATTTGATTTTGTTTGTTTTATTAAAGTTCAATCTGAACAATTAGTATTATTGGTATATCAAAATATCATTTAACTTTTGATTAAACATTCATGTTATTGGTGTGCCAAACTGGCTGTTTTGGACGTACTTATTTATATCCATGATTAATTTAGTTTCATTCACTAATGGTTTGATTCATCAAATACCAAAACTAATAGTGAATATCATCAAATAATTTTTACGCGTGGTACCATTCTAGATTTAAATATAAAACATTGTTCTTGTCAGTCAGTAATGGCTCAAACAACATGTTAACATTAAAAAAAAAAAACTTAAATGACCATGAAAATTGAAATAAATTTTTGTTACTGTTTTACCAATAAATTCATCTTTCGAAATTTACTTTTATCAGCACAAATATTCAATCAAATTTCAAAACGGCAGTAAAAATTTGAAAATCGAGCCACTTTTTTCCCATTTTACGGTAAATGTCAGCTGCAGAAAAAGTAACAATAATTCCAAAATTGTTAATAAGAGAAATAAAATAAAAGAAAAAGGGCAACAAAATAAATTGGGCTTGTGAACAGTAAAACTCCCAAATTTGCAAATGACTCATCTTCTTCACCTGGAGAGAATCTAGGGTTCCAGATTTACTCTTCGTCTTCCTCCCTTCTCTTCTTCCCCACTGGGATTTTCCTTTTTCTTCTCTACCCATCGATCTACACATCCTCATCTTCTTAAAAGCCCCAATCTTTATACATTTCGAGAACAAAAACCCTAGCTTTTTAATTCCGGCTTAACCAGTTTTCGAAAAACCCTAGCTTCCATGGCGAAAACTCGACCTGGTGTCGCCTCCAAAATTAAGCCTGGTAGGAAGGAGCTGGACTCTTATACCATCAAGGGCACAAACAAAGTTGTGAGAGGTAGTCTTTATATTATCCTTTATTATCGTCACTTGTCAAATTTAGACATTCTTCTGCATGTTTTTGGGCATTTGAGTGTTGAGATTAGGTTTATAAAGGAAGGGATTGCTTGAAAGCTTCGTTTTGGAGTCTGTATTGTTCAATGTCTGCTTAGGTGTTTTAGATTCACTCTTGTTTTTGGTCGTTTTGTTCAGGTGTTGTGTAGCTAGCTGCTAAGGGTTAGTCACTGCTTCGTAGCTAGGCTTTAGAAATTGTCTGGTGTATGAAATGGCACAAAATGTGATATTTGGTAGCTCTCTTGTTGTTAGAACTGAGATTTCTTGCAGTGAATTGTTTTGATTTGGGCCTTTTAGTGTAAATTTCCTTGCTTTTTTGGTTTCTTTTAATGAAGTTTGTGTTTGGCTGGTTGGTTAAATGTGAAACATGAATTCATTTTATCTCTATCATCTGCATTGTAGCTTGTTATGTTTGTTGACACAATGTGTGCTTCCACATGTTAAGTATCTGCGTATATCTAGATTCTGGTTTTTTTCTTCTGGTGACTAGGTGTATAAGAGTTATGGTCTAGGCATTTTTCGTTGAAGGGAGTAATCTTTAAAAGCTTGAATGTTGAAAATCACCGCTTTTTAAAATTTGCAACCCAAACTTTTGTTCATTTAAAGTTAATACCTTTTTTAGATGAAAGAATGCTAGTGTTGGGCATTTATATCGCTTTACTAATGTTGGCATGATGAGCTCTGAACTAATCCTTGAGGTTATTTTCTGCAGCGGGAGATTGTGTGTTGATGCGCCCATCAGATGCTGGTAAACCACCATATGTGGCCCGTGTTGAGAAGATTGAAGCTGATGCTAGGAACAATGTGAAGGTGCACTGTCGATGGTATTACCGTCCTGAGGAGTCCCTTGGTGGTAGGAGACAATTTCATGGAGCCAAAGAGCTTTTCCTGTCTGACCATTTTGATGTTCAAAGCGCACACACCATTGAGGGGAAATGCATCGTTCACACCTTCAAGAACTACACGAGGCTTGAAAACGTCGGGGCGGAGGATTATTATTGTAGATTCGAGTACAAGGCTGCTACTGGCGCGTTTACCCCTGATCGAGTTGCTGTGTAAGTATATAAATAGTAATCAAATCAGAATTATGTCTTCGTATGACCTGGAATTTCCATGATTTTTTATTATGTTGTGGGTTGTTTTTGGTTCTGAAGGTACTGCAAATGTGAAATGCCTTACAATCCAGACGATCTCATGGTGCAGTGTGAAGGCTGCAAAGACTGGTAAATGTTGATATTTTTTTTTTATTAACTTCATTACTTGTGTTTCAACAGAAAAGAGACTTTATTAATCTGTTTATAAACTTACGTATTCTTTTCCACGAATTATTGATAATAAGCATTTCAATTTGATGTTGTAGGTATCATCCTGCTTGTGTTGGCATGACGATTGAAGAAGCAAAGAAGCTTGATCACTTTGTATGTGCTGAATGCAGTTCTGATGACGATGTCAAAAAATCGCAGAACGGGTTTACTTCATCTCCAGCTGATGATGTTAAGGTCCGTTGGTCTTTCTTTAGTCATCTCCTATATAGATGTTCTATCACTTTGATAACTTTAGTCTCTGCCCCTCTGTGTGCACCTGTGTCATTGACTTCAATTTGAGATCTGGAAAAAGATACTAAACCAAAATTATGCACTGGCTTAATGGTGCTTGCTGAGTGGGGGAATGGCCACAAAGATACATTTGTGGTTCTTGGTCCTGTCAGGATCTTTGAATCGTTCCTCCAGGTCTCGCTGCAAAACAATCTGTCTGTAAGGTTATCAAAGATCAATTTTGTAATGCTTCTACTTACACACATTTAAGCATTCTGTAGATATCAGAGTTAGAAATCTCTGCGAGTGTTACCGTAGAAAAATGATTTCAAGAACCCTTTTTATTCCACAATATTAGCTTGTCAAATGTCTGGCATTCAAAGGAAAATCATTTTTCTATCTGTTTTGTGCCCAAAAGCTTGTCCTTGATATAAAAATGTCGTTATCTTCAGGTGGAAACGAAGCGCAGAAAAAGATAATCGCGAGTTCTTGGGGATAAAAGCCAGAGGGGATGGTAAGTTATAACGTGGGAAGCTCTTTGGTGCAGATTTTAGTAAGTTAGGGTTTTATCTTTGTCGGTCTTTGTCGTCTGTGGTTGTGATGATGTCTGTATGGTGCGTTCCAAAACTTAGAGAAATGTGAAAAATGGAGAGAGATTGGAGAGATGATGAAGAAAATTATGTTGGCAGAGTCAGTTTGTATAGACTTTTCCGTGGGGTTTAAGTTAACTTTAGGTTTGTTTATTGTTATGGTCTGTTGTTGTTTTGTGGCTGATGAGAACAGATGAACATGAACAACGCTTTTGACTTTGGGTCATCTCAACAAAAATTAACATCAGATCTATCTTCCTTCTTAATCATGTTCCACTTTTCTTAAAGACTCAAACGAGCTTTACTTAAATTTATTGAACAAAAAAAAATCACCTCAGACAATTTGAAATTTATTACCTCAGATAAAGAGAAGAAAATGGTACAAGAAAGATGATTGAAACATGGTTATGTACTCTAATTATATCCTTACAAAAATACACAAGCATAAAATTTCTTACTGTCTGAACCAAGATGCTTCTTTACTTCTCTGTAGCATCCTTTGGATCAGATTTTCTTATGCGTTGAGCAAAACTCTCCCTTCCTTTTGAGTTTCAAGCTGCATCTTAGCATCAAATGACAGAAAAGACTCGAGCTTGGAGTAGTTTTGGATCATTTACTCAGTAGGAGATATCGATGTGCTCGTGTTCAGGTGTCCTGTAAGAAAATCCAGTGTCATCACTTGATCTTCGTTTGATAACACTTGCCCTTTGAACTAATCTCACTAGCTGTTGCACCACCTCTGACATTGGAGGCCTGAATTCTGGTTCCGGCTAAATTAACAAACAAAAAAAAAGAGATATGGTTACTTTACAAAGCAATTTCGGTTTTGTTCAAGTAGGACATTCTCCAGAGTTTGGATGGAATTTTTACCTGAATACAGAGAGCAATGATATCCGCAAAACGAGACAGAGACTTAGCTGGATACATGCCATTAAGAGAAGGATCAACCATTTTAGACAAAGCATCTATATCGTGAAGCTGCGGTGTAGCCCATCTCACTAGTGATTGCTCTACTCTTGTCCTTGTGCTGTCAAACACACATACACAAAGCACATTTTTACTTAAGGAAACACAAATCAATGGCTTTTGCTCAACATTGGCTACTAAAAATATGAAAAAGAAACCTGTCAAGAGGCTTCCGACCAGTTAAGAGCTCAAGCATGACTACTCCAAAAGTGTATACATCACTTTTCACAGTATAAATTCCCGACAATGCAAACTCTGGAGCGCTGTATCCAAATGAACCCACCACTTGAGTTGAAACCTGTTGACATATATAAACCATGACAGTCTCAGAAAACCTTTCAACATTACCTCGAAATCTGATTCTTCCCATTGTTATTACCTGTCTCTCAGTGTTAGGTGTCAAAGCAGCTAAACCACTGTCTGATAAGTGAGGATTAAGTTCTTCATCTAGCAATATATTCGCCGATTTGAAGTTTCTATGTACAATTGAAGGCAAGCAAACTTCGTGCAAGTACCTGTTCAAACAAAAACAGAAAACTCCGGTTTAACATGAATGTTGTTCATTAAAGAGACTAGAAATAATCATAACAATTTGCACATACTCTAAAGCCTTGGCAGTTCCAAGTGCCACTTTAACACGCGCATTCCAAGTAAGATTCATGCTCCTATCATCATTCGTGTGAAGCATATCATCTAGATTCCCATTTCCCACATATTCATACACTAGAAGACGTTGACCATGCTCAGTGCAGTATCCAGCCAAGGGAACAATGTTTGGATGCCTCAAGCGCGACATGTTTGAAACGGCTTCTAAGAAATTATCTTCTTCTTGTAATGAAAGTGCTGCATTATCAATCTTCTTAATCGCCATTATCTAGAAATAGA